AATTGGTCTTAATGAAAGCTACGATTGAATCGTAATTGTTATTCAAACAAAAGTTAAGATTGCATCATAGTTGGTACCAAATAAAGAGGTACGAGAGAACACAATTGGTACCATATAAAGAAGTACGATTGAAGAAGTATGAGCTCCAATCTGTACCAAATAAAATGCTACGATTGCTACCAAATAAAGAACTAGTACTATTAAACTACTATTAGTACTAAGTTAAGAGTTAAGATTCAGCCACAATTGGTACCAAAGAAAGAACTACATTGATATCAAAAAAATACTATTGATACCACAATTAGTATTAAATTAAGAGCTGCAATTAAAGCGCAATTGGTGTTCAAACAAGAGCTACGATTGGACCACAATTGAGCCACATTAGGTACCAAATAGATAATTGCGACTAAACCCCAATTGGTACCAAACAAAGAGCTAGAACAGGCGCTTAGAGCTATGATTATTGCAGAAAGTGTTATTCTCAAAAGAATGCTACTTGAAGTTACATTCTGTAGCTAAGTTTGAATTCTGATTTGTACTTCGTTACGGAAATTTTGAATGTAAACTTCCAACAGTCTTCTTCCAAGAATTTTAAATTTATCGGATTTTAAAAACCATTCATTTATATTAAATTGTCTTTCACATAGTTTTGTCTTCTTAACTTACCTGCATCGAACGACGACTCGAACCACTATTCGAACGCGACAACATGGGTGGACGACGTTTCGTAGCGCCACGACCAGCCAATAAATTATTAAGTAACGAAGGTGAACGGGCACAAATGAATGCATGAAACGAGGAAACCGTAAAGACGCCCAATTTATTGAGAGTATTTTTGGTAGGGCGTGAGACATGTGTAAGTAGTGACTAAAAACAGAGAAAAAAAAATCATAAAAATAATTTCATAATATAAATTTAATTACAAAAATACATTTAGTAATGGTCTTTAAAACTTACTTTTGGATTTGGTAATTCGCCACTCTGTAACGAGGCCATATAACAGCGCAAACGAAATTGTTCACAATGCAAACGTTCAAGATTTTCTTCCCATTGAAGTATTTGGCCTTGAATTTGTAGACGTGTATCCTGATCGGTAACCACCGACTGTTGCAATTCGGCCATATGTTTAAGTTTGTGATCCTTTATATACCAAAAATAAAGATATAATTTAATATTAAAAAAAATATATACGAAAAAGACACATAAAATGAAAAGAGGCAAATAAGAAAAGGAAAATCTATTCATATTTTGTTTAAAGCATACAATTCTCACACAAAACTGCTCGTACATACATATATATAAACAGGTGTGTGTGTATAAGTGTAGCATGTGTTTAGTGTTCAAAATGTGTACACTTTTCATTATTTTCAACGCCCATTAGTTGAGATTTTTTTGTTGCAGTTTGTTTTCAAAAAACATTTTTTTTCACCAGTTGTTGCAACAACAGCAACGTATTCATATAGAGAGATTGAAATCCATTCCATTCTATTTTCCCTTGCATTAAACAAAGTATTCTTTCTTTCTTTCTAGATTTTTGTTTGTAAAATATATAACAAAAATATTTGTATGAGTAGTATGCCATCTTTTCATATGTATATTTCTTTATGATGCCACCATTCATGTAGTCGTCGTCGCCAGTGTTTGAAGGTATACAGCGCATAGGCAACAGAAACGGCAACAAAGACGAAAAAGTATCACATGCATTTATGTGCAACAAATGTGACAAATGTTGTTGCTACAGCTGCCATATATAAACAAACATACATAAATGTATATATGATACCCACCATATAAACTACATATCACTATTGCAACATACAAACACTTACAACAGCAACAACATCACTACCACCTTTACAAACTCAACAGTAAGTAAAAGTTTTGTAACTGTTACCGGTTGTTGTTTTTAATACTTAATGTTGTTTCTAAGTATGTTTGTGTATGTGTGAAGAAAATATGTATGTTGCACACTTAGAAAATATTTATAGTTGTTGTCATATACATATGTATGTATGTGTGTGTGTAAGTATTTGTTATTTGCTGCTCTTTTCTTTCTTTCATACGGATTTTTTTTCTCAGAAAAAAGGAAAAATCAAATATAAAGCTGAAAAATAATTAGAGCGTAAAAACCGGAGCATGGTAACACTTACATTGCAATTCGACTAATTCATTTCCAAAAAAAAAAACGAGAGAAAAATACATAAATTTCTAATGCACACATCCAAAGAGATATGTATTACACAAATACCTGGTTTTACAATGTGTAAATTTTTATCTTGAATGACTTTTTATTATTAGAAATTTCAACAAATCTAAACGAAAATATTTACCATGTAGAAAAAGTTGCAAGTGTAATTCATATAAGTGTGTATAAGTAAATTATGTACAAATGCAAACATGTATGTATGTGTATGTATTTGTATGACAAAAAATCAAATTAGACTAACTTTAAGTATGACATATGTACATTTGTATGTAGATTTGTGTGAAATACGTACTAGAAATTGGAATTAGTATGGCTTCAAATTTTGCTCTCAAGAAGAGTACGTTTCCTATAGATAGCATTTTTTCTATACAAAATTTCCTCTTATAAAGAGCAAGCTTTCTATAGATTTTCTATAGAAATTTTGCTTTAATAGAGAGCAACATTTACCATTCCTAAGAGTAAGTTTTCTATAGAAAATTTGCTTTAACAAAGAGCATGTTTTCTATGGAAAATTTGCTCCTGGTAAGAGCATGTTTTCTATAGAAAATTTGCTCCTGGTAAGAGCATGTTTTCTATAGAAAATTTGCTCCTGGTAATAGCATGTTTTCTAGGTAAGAGCTTGTTTTCTATAGAATATTTGCTCTTGGTAAGAGCTTGTTTTCTATAGAAAATTTGCTCTTGGTAAGAGCTTGTTTTCTATAGAAAATTTTCTCTTAGTAAGAGCTTGTTTTCTATAGAAAATTTGCTCCTGGTAAGAGCATGTTTTCCATAGAAAATTTGCTCTTGGTAAGAGCATGTTTTCTATAGAAAATTTGCTCTTAGTAAGAGCATGTTTTCTATAGAAAATTTGCTCTTAGTAAGAGCATGTTTTCTATAGAAAATTTGCTCTTAGTAAGAGCATGTTTTCTATAGAAAATTTGCTCTTAGTAAGATCATGTTTTCTATAGAAAATTTGCTCTTAGTAAGAGCATGTTTTCTATAGAAAATTTGCTCTTAGTAAGAGCATGTTTTCTATAGAAAATTTGCTCTTAGTAAGAGCATGTTTTCTATAGAAAATTTGCTCTTAGTAAGAGCTTGTTTTTTATAGAAAATTTGCTCTTAGTAAGAGCTTGTTTTCTATAGAAAATTTGCTCTTAGTAAGAGCTTGTTTTCTATAGAAAATTTGCTCTTAGTAAGAGCTTGTTTTCTATAGAAAATTTGCTCTTAGTAAGAGCTTGTTTTCTATAGAAAATTTGCTCTTAGTAAGAGCTTGTTTTCTATAGAAAATTTGCTCTTAGTAAGAGCTTGTTTTCTATAGAAAATTTGCTCTTAGTAAGAGCTTGTTTTCTATAGAAAATTTGCTCTTAGTAAGAGCTTGTTTTCTATAGAAAATTTGCTCTTAGTAAGAGCTTGTTTTCTATAGAAAATTTGCTCTTAGTAAGAGCTTGTTTTCTATAGAAAATTTGCTCTTAGTAAGAGCTTGTTTTCTATAGAAAATTTGCTCTTAGTAAGAGCTTGTTTTCTATAGAAAATTTGCTCTTAGTAAGAGCTTGTTTTCATTAGAAAGTTTGCTCCTGGTAGGAGCTTGTTTTCTATAGAAAGTTTGCTCCTGGTAGGAGCTTGTTTTCTATAGAATGTTTGCTCCTGGTAGGAGCTAGTTTTCTATTGAAAGTTTGCTCCAGGTAGGAGCTAGTTTTCTATAGAAAGTTTGCTCCTGGTAAGAGCATGTTTCCTATAGAAAATTTGCTCCTGGTAAGAGCATGTTTTCTTTGCTCTTAGTAAGAGCATATTTCTTTAGAAAGTTTTCTCTTAGCAAGATCATGAAGAGAATTTGTTGAAATTTCTTTGAAAAAGTAAAACCCTAATGATTGTGAAAACATATTTATGCTGCAATAACTTTTTATGTACTTTTACTTATACTACCATAAACTATTCATTAAATAGTTATTTTTTTGTCAACTATAGACATTGTAAATATCTTATGTTTTCATAATAAACATATCTCATTTGTTTATGTATGTGTGTGTGTATCTGCAGCTGTAAGTATATTATTATGAAAGAGAAATTTCAATGGAATAACACGGTTCATTAGTTTTAATTTGGCTTATAAAAAGTAAATATTGCTATGATAATCGGAATACTAAAGAAATTTGTGTAATAAGATCATATAAACACATACACAAAATTTCCTATAATAATAAATATTTATAGAAGTATTGTATTATGTGTGTGTTCCAAGAATGTTATTGTTTTATTAATGTTAGATTTAATAGTTTAATAATTATTTAGTTTATGCATCGTTAAATAATTACAGTGTGTTAATTTAATATGTAATTAAGTTTTAATGTTAAAATAAATTTATTAAGGTGTTGCTTTAAAAATACATTTAAAAACTTTTTATTTCATTGAATTTAAAGTAGTTTTGAAATTTTTAATCACATAGAGTTTAAATGAAGTTATATTTTGTAAGTTTTATGTGGCGGTGGTACTTTGGAATTGTAAAAAAAATTAACTTTTGTAGTGGTGTTGGAGATGCTCAGACAACGCCAACAAGGAGAAGCAGACAAAGAAAAAGGAATCATAAAAAAATAATAATAAAAAAATTAGTATTGTGTAGTTAGAAACAAAAAAAAAAAAAAAAAAATAATAAACAATAACAAATAAGAAGTGGATAGAAGATATACATAACTTTACAAAGATAAGAGAGCATTTAAAAACAAGAAGAAAAAAAAGTACATTCACATACGTCACATCAGCTAAAGTATGTGTGTGTAAGTTTATATGGCTACGTATAAGTATTTTATATTTATGTGGTTTTATATCATGATTTTTAGTTGGTTTTGAAATTGTTTTTTTTTTGTCTTTTCTAGCACCCCAACTGCGTTTTTTTTTTGTTTGAGCACTGACTGACTAACTCCTTGTTCCTATCGCGAGTTGTTTCATTATTATGCTTTTTTTCGCAGTCGTTGTCTTCCATTTTTTTAAAACCCTAGCCATATGCTCTAATGTCCGTCTGTATTTGTATGTTGTGGCTGTTGTTTTATCATTTTGCTTTTCATTCTTTTTTTCTACTTTTTTTTGATTCCACATTCAGTTTTGTCTTTATTGTCTCTTTAGCTAAGAGCAGTCTTAATTACTTCCTATAATGCACTGTTTTGGCGGGAAATCCATTGCGGAAAACAACATAAAACTCTAAAGTCTTCATAGTGGGTTACTTTGTTAAATCTACAGAGTTGTTGGTTTTTTCCATATTTTCACTGCTTCTTTTTTAATATTTTTTTTTTATAATTTTTTTCTCATTTTTTTGGCATTCATGTACTTTTGCTCTGGCTTCAAATGCAGACAAGTTTAATGGGGAAAAAAACAGTTTTGTTATCTGTGATACCAAGTTAAATTTGTTTTGTATTCTTAACTTATTATTGTAATTTTTTTCCCTTCAACTTTTTTCATTTATTTTTTTTCTAATGAAAATTAAAAAAAATTGTTGTTTGTTTAACTGTTGACTTATGTGTAAAGTGGTATAAAGATGGTTAAAAATATTAAATTTATTAAAGCGTTTAAGGTTGGAGTTTGTTTATCAAAGTAATTGTGTGCCGTTGGTTTTAATATGGAGTACGTTGATATATAGAAAGAAGCTTTATAGAATAGTATCTCAATGGTTAGGCAGATTAGTAATCTTTTCATCTTCATAATTATTATGCGAACATAAATATTGCTTTATTAGGCTTTTATCATTAACAAAATAGTTTTAAATATGTTTACAAGTTTTCTCATTTAAAGTCTTCATTAAACAATGACTTATTAAAACCTCTAATAGAGTATTTGTACTATACCTATGCAGCCTAATAAGTATTTTGATTGCTTTTTCAGCAAGTCCATTTTACTCCTGCAGGACTGTTTGATAATATCACGGAATATTTAAGAGATCATTTTAAAATAGTGCACTTTTTATCCCTTATATATAGGTCAAGGGTTAAACCTTGTCTTGGTACTATAACTAGGCAAGAATGAATCTTATCAAATCTTCCTAACTATCGACATAAATTGTCACGAAAGGTCCCATTTCCGTCGCTTTCCACGTAGCTAGGAACTTCGCTAGGAAAACATTACATTCGACAGGCTTTTTATACCATACCCCACTTTAGTGGGGAGGGTATATTGGGTTTGTGCTGATGTTTGTAACGCACAATAATATTGGTCCTATACCCACCTTAAAGTATACCAATCGGCTTAAAATCATTTTCTGAGTCGATTTAGCTATATCCGTCCGTCTGTCCGTCCATGTAAACCTTGTAATCAAACTACAGGTCGCAATTTTGATGGTAATTCAATTAAATTTGACACATGATCTTCTATGGTACCAGAGACAAAGCCTATTGAAAATGGTTAACATCGGTCCATTATTTCACCTAGCCCCCAACCTGACGAATAGGGCTTTTAAATTCATAATTATGTTTAATATACTCGTATCTCAACAAAAAGCTGCAAAACCAAGTGCTATACTAGCCTTGATAACTCTCATGAATTTTATAATTATAGGGTCTCATTTGACCATAGCACCTATACAAAGCCCCCTTCAAAATTTGACTTAAATGTCCACAATTTTATTCAACAATAAATGGCTTAATTATCTGAGGCAAGGTACAATTCAACTACAATGCTTTATTATGAAAACTAAATCACATTTTATTTTTGTAACAGGTGTAGGGTATCATATGGTCGGCTCGCCCGACTATAATTTCTTACTTGTTTTACATTAGAGAAGCTTTTCTTGTTCATGTCAATAATGTCTTGGATCCATAGGTAAAAACAGCCCTCGAACAGTTTGTCGGATCTAAGGCAATTCCACATGGAATATTATAAATATTAAGAAGATCCGCCTTGTACAAAATTTTCGTGAGGTATCCACGCGAAAATTTTAACAGAGAAGGCTCATATAGTCTTAATAGGTTTCTTGCTGACACACTAGCTACATATTCCTCAATAGGGGAGAAACATACAAACAGTGCTGCAGTAATTGTTTTCATCTATATAAAAGTGATCTCAGCAAAAATATGGTAATTACTTGTACTTATACAATTTACTTTTCAATGACTACTACATACCATCTGCATTACTTAGAAGGAGTGTAGTAATGACATACAAATAACTATATATGTAGGTACTTACTTTTTAGTCTTGACATTTTGTTTTCGAATGTTTTTTGTGAAAACTAATAGAAGACGCAATGCACGTCCAATCGTAGGCTACACTACTTACTTAACTACTTATTTGCAGGCGATCGTAGTAAGTACTTAACTAACTACCTACTTGTAAGCGAGCGCGGCATGTACTTGCATCCAATGTCTGAAACTACCGTGTTAAAATAATCACTTAAAATGCTATAGTGTATTTTTTAATGCAAATTTTTGCTCGGATTACAAGTTATCTTTATTTGTCCAGATATTTAAAGGCATATGATTTCCCATCTATCTATATATTGGTACTTTTTCGTAACTTCTGAAGTAACTAATAAATGTCTCTGACATAATCGGAAATTTTAATAAGAAAGCTGAACGCTTAACGTAACGCTGTAATCTAAAAGTGTTTATGATTAAGACTGCAACTGAAGAGTCTAAACCCGGATAACTCCACAATGTTGATTAGTGAAGAATCGGTTTCTCTTAACAGTTAGAGAAAATGGAAGAATATTTCTTCTGTTTCCCTGTCGTTGCATGAATTGTTATCTTTATATTGTTACTTCTTCGTAACTTCCAAAGTAACTAATAAATGTCTCTGACATATTCGGGAATTTTAATAAGAACGCTTAACGTAACGCTGTAATCTAAAAGTGTTTATGATTATGACTGCAACTGAAGAGTCTAAACCCGGATAACTTCACAAGGCTGAATAGCGAAGAATCGGATTCTCTTAACAGTTAGAGAAATTGGAAGAATATTTCTTCTGTTTCCAGGTCGTTGCATGGAAGTCATATGCGAACAAATCTCTGTGAGGAATCACAGACAACAATCGAAACGAATACTAGGCACAAGTTAGTATAAATAGACGATATCTCTGATATATCGGAGCTACACTTCTATTACTAATGCTCTGCATTTTCGCCCAGTTGTCAAAAATATTTTGTTATTATTTTGCCTCGAAATTCCTGCGAGATTTTTAACGAAGATTTGTAATGTGATTGCATCGTACTTATTGCGATCTGGGTTCGATTCTCAGATTTATACAATCATTAATCAGATTCTATTAAAAATAGTACTTGAAACAGTGCCATCTTACGGCGGAATGCATAACTGCATTGACTATTAACTAATTGACCTACCGGTGGCCTTCGGTAGGTTAGCGGTTAGTGTTCTAGTCTGGTAGACCGGAGGTGGTGGATTCGATTCTCTCCTGAGGCACTGGTTAAGGAGCGTACAAAAGGCTCGATAGAGGTCAAGGTGTATGTCTTCGGATTTGATGTACATGGGGAATTTCGTGTCAAGTGACCCAACTTTCAAAATCGATGTCTTCCGATTTGGATGAAATTTGCACCAAGGAAGTACTATGGAATAGTAGGCCAGATACAAACATTCAGCTCTATATGGACGGACAGACTATACAAACATCATCACAAACTCATATTGCCCTCCCCACTATAGTTATATAGGATATAAAAAGCTTTCTTCTATACTTTACTTTCAATACCTTTCTATCCTTTTCCAAAAAAGAATCATGTTTTATAAAACGTCTTTAAATAGGAAAGGCGTTTTCGATAAAATGTGTGAAAAACACGTAGTGGACAACCAATTAATTTAGAGGTCATATAAAGAAAGATCTGAAAACGGGGTTTGAGATATAAAACATCAATATGTTAAAAATGTTGCATTCGAAATTGCAAATGCTATAGCTTTGCCTCTGGCTTAAATAGCACCATTTAAAGATTTTTGTAATTTTATGCTGGACTTGAAAAGCAATTAGCAGATAAATTTTAATGTCTGTAAATAAGTATGTAAAATGTAAAAGTATGTGTTAATATTTGTAACAACAGCTCCTTGGGCAAAAATACCATACTATATAACAGCAAACTATAGTATAGTAGTTATTTAGTAGATTTTTTCTTTCATCTTGCAAAGAGAAACAAATCCTTATAATATAGATGTGTGTATATGTGTGTATTTTATTACACTAATACATTGTTGTCCTCACTTTATTTATGGTGCATGTAGTATTTTAGTTGCATGTAAGACAACACTTACGTTCTTATTGTTGCTTATACATATTTTTATACGAGAGAAAAAAAAGAAAACATGTGTATGTATGGTTGAGTAAATTGTTTAGTCGTCGTTACTTTATACAACAAAATTCTTGTAGGAAAATTAAAAATATAAAGAAAAAAATATTTAATTTTCTTCTTTTTCAGTACTACCGCAATAAAAGTTACAAACAATGTAAAAATTTATTTGTGAATGTATTAGTTACCAACACAGCAACTTATTAAGCATTTTCCTTGCCATCATATAGGTATTTTGCAAAGAATTGTTATAACTATCTTTACCAAACCCCCCTCACCCTTTACCCAAGATAAAGTGTTGGGGTAAAGTTGAAAAATATATATAAAAAATATATAGCAACAGTAAAAGAAAGAATTTCAATTACCTGGGGATTTTTTATAAATATTTTTTTTTTTTGTAAAAAAGAATGTGGAAAATCATGTTGCATTTTTCAGTTACTCTTTTTCGCAAATGATTAAAAAAGTTAAGCGTATAACAGGAAACATACCAAAAAAATCCTACAAAGTGATATATGAAGAGGTTTAACACATAAAATAAACACATATTCACACACATTTACATTGTACTTGTAGACATGAGCAGTTTTGTATAAGAGTGTGGGTAAATAAAATAAAATACAATTATAAAGATTCCTTTCATTACGTTTGACTTTGTTTTTTTATATTTGTTTATTTAATACTACTTACCGATTCGATGGCTTTTTCAATACGGAATATTTCTTCCTGCAGTAAATGTAATGTTCCGGTTTTACCTCGATGTCTTGCAAATGCAGCTGCACAAGCGCTGTGAATGCTATTAACCCAATTTTCCAATTCCACCTGAAATTAAAACAAGTTCACGTTGAAGATAATCTAATTTTATCAAGTTTACAAACTGAATCAAACAGCCTCCTGCCAACAAATAATTGTATACATACGTACACACATACACTGGTGGAAACAAGCCGCCCTTCAACACTAATACCCAGCATCCGATTTCATCTTTCAATCACCAAAGGCAATTTTTATATTCATTCATTGAAACACATACACACACACACACACACACACACTGTCACGGGAAGTAATTGTTCATTTCAAGGACTGACTGACTGAAAGGATGAATGGATGGTTGGTTGGAAGGATACGAATTGGTTGCCCCATTATACATGTGTATGTTTGTATAAAACTTAAGTCAATATTTATATACATTTTACATAAATGCGTACACATACAGACACTCACACAAATGTGTATATGTAGGCATTAATATGTATGCTTCCCTCTATAGCTGCCTACTCGTATGTTTGTATGTTGGTCTTAATATATGTATGCATTTTTAAACACATATAAAAGAATTTGAAACGTTAATACTTATTTGTTACTTACACACATACACTCACATGTAACATTTCAACATAAGGATGTGTGCATTGCAACTTAAGGCGTTTAGATTATATGATAAGGACATGTTGAATTGAATGAACATTAAATATAAAGAAAGGAAAATTTATGAAATGTTTGTGAATGTTCATGTGCAGTTTGTTTACATATGTATTTGTTTACACATAAACAAACCCACAGACTTTAACATTCATACATTATCTACATACATGCACGTACATCATCATGTAATAAATACGCGATTATTGTATGATTACATTCATTCAGATGCACATGACTTAAAGTTTTTAATAAAAACGTTTTAATTTTTAAAATTACAGGCCACTTTAAGTAATCTTAAAGGAATATGTCATGCCTTTCAGTATATATGTAAGTAGTAATACTTCTTGAAAATTATGTTGGAAAGCAGTTTTTCTTTATGAAAAGAAACAATAGCTTGGTCCACTTGGAAGGTAATAAATGTGGTAAATGAAACCTTTGATGTTATGTTTCGTTTTGTAAATATGTTGAGGAACTGAAGCAGTAGCAGAATAGCTTTAAGAATATTGTGTCCAGTGATGCTTAAATTGGGAAATTGCGAATTGACTTTTAGACTTAAGTCCATTCCATGGAATGGAAGACCTGTCTAATGATTCAAAGAAATGATTCTGTACTTATGATTCTTGTGTTCCCTTTGATATCTAGCTCTAGTCTATAGTCTATTTTGTAGTCTAGTCTATAGTCTAGTCTATAGTCTAGTCTATAGTCTAGTCTATAGTCTAGTCTATAGTCTAGTCTATAGTCTAGTCTATAGTCTAGTCTATAGTCTAGTCCTATAGTCTAGTCTATAGTCTATTCTATAGTCTAGTCTATAGTCTAGTCCTAGTCTAGTCCTAGTCGTATAGTCTAGTCTAGTCTAGTCTATAGTCTAGTATAGTCTAGTCTATAGTCTAGTCTATAGTCTAGTCTATAGTCTAGTCTATAGTCTAGTCTATAGTCTAGTCTATAGTCTAGTCTATAGTCTAGTCTATAGTCTAGTCTATAGTCTAGTCTATAGTCTAGTCTATAGTCTAGTCTATAGTCTAGTCTATAGTCTAGTCTATAGTCTAGTCTATAGTCTAGTCTATAGTCTAGTCTATAGTCTAGTCTATAGTCTAGTCTATAGTCTAGTCTATAGTCTAGTCTATAGTCTAGTCTATAGTCTAGTCTATAGTCTAGTCTATAGTCTAGTCTATAGTCTAGTCTATAGTCTAGTCTATAGTCTAGTCTATAGTCTAGTCTATAGTCTAGTCTATAGTCTAGTCTATAGTCTAGTCTATAGTCTAGTCTATAGTCTAGTCTATAGTCTAGTCTATAGTCTAGTCTAGTCTAGTCTATAGTCTAGTCTATAGTCTAGTCTATAGTCTAGTCTATAGTCTAGTCTATAGTCTAGTCTATAGTCTAGTCTATAGTCTAGTCCTATAGTCTGTATAGTCCTATAGTCTAGCAGTCTATAGTCTAGTCTATAGTCTAGTCTATAGTCTAGTCTATAGTCTAGTCTATAGTCCTAGTCTATATTCAGTCTATAGTCTAGTCTATAGTCTAGTCTATAGTCTAGTCTATAGTTCAGTCTTGTCTAGTCTATAGTCTAGTCTATAGTCCTAGTCTATAGTCTAGTCTATAGTCTAGTCTATAGTCTAGTCTATAGTCTAGTCTATAGTCCTAGTCTATAGACTCAGACTATAGACTAGACTATAGACTAGACTATAGCCTAGACTATACTTTATGAATTCTTGTGTTCCTTTGATATCTTAGCTCTAGTCTATAGTCTATTTTGTAGTCTAGTCTATAGTCTAGGCTATAGTCTAGTCTACAGTAGCTATAGTCTAGTCTAGTCAGTCTAAGTCTAGTATAGTCTAGTCTATAGTCTAGTCTATAGTCTAGTCCTATAGTCTAGTCTATAGTCTAGTCTATAGTCTAGTCTATAGTCTAGTCTATGTCTAGGTCTATAGTTCCTACGTCTATAGTCTATAGTCTAGTCTATAGTCTAGTCTATAGTCTAGTCTATAGTCTAGTCTATAGTCTAGTCTATAGTCTAGTCTATAGTCTAGTCTATAGTCTAGTCTATAGTCTAGTCTATAGTCTAGTCTATAGTCTAGTCTATAGTCTAGTCTATAGTCTAGTCTATAGTCTAGTCTATAGTCTAGTCTATAGTCTAGTCTATAGTCTAGTCTATAGTCTAGTCTATAGTCTAGTCTATAGTCTAGTCTATAGTCTAGTCTATAGTCTAGTCTATAGTCTAGTCTATAGTCTAGTCTATAGTCTAGTCTATAGTCTAGTCTATAGTCTAGTCTATAGTCTAGTCTATAGTCTAGTCTATAGTCTAGTCTATAGTCTAGTCTATAGTCTAGTCTATAGTCTAGTCTATAGTCTAGTCTATAGTCTAGTCTATAGTCTAGTCTATAGTCTAGTCTATAGTCTAGTCTATAGTCTAGTCTATAGTCTAGTCTATAGTCTAGTCTATAGTCTAGTCTATAGTCTAGTCTAGTCTAGTCTATAGTCTAGTCTATAGTCTAGTCTATAGTCTAGTCTATAGTCTAGTCTATAGTCTAGTCTATAGTCTAGTCTATAGTCTAGTCTATAGTCTAGTCTATAGTCTAGTCTTTTCATTTGTAAAGATCTTCTTCAAGGATCAAATTCTTCAGTATGTCTTATATCCGATACTCTTACTTGCCAGAGGATTAAAAAAGCCGACTGAAAACAAGCAGATACAATATTTTCAATAAAATCTTACTTCTATTGAAATAACCACATCCACTTAATAACTGTTTCAAAATTAGCCTATCCTCATGGAACATTAAAACACTGTGGGTTTTCTGTTAATTGAATACCCTCATTTCGAATAGGTTTTGAATGTGTTACGAAGCAAATGCACTTTCAACTTGTCAATGCTCTATTTTTAAAAGATTCTATCCGGTACGCATCAACGAGCAACTGTTGTTTTAAAAAAAGAAGAGGTTGGTCTTGCACTTAATAAAGCCTGCATAAAATTCCTATTTTCTAAGTATCCATCGGAAATTGTATACGTTTGAAAAACAAACAAACCTTAGTCCTCAAAAATCTTTGACCTGAATTCAGTTATTTACACACATCGATAACAAATGGCTACTTAAATGTACACAGCCAGCAAAAAAAAAGAAACCAAGTCTCGAATAACTCTACAGGAAAGGAAATCTCATTGCAAAAAAATAAAAAATCTAGAGAACAAAATAATGAAAAGAACTTGTAATGACCGCGAGCAATGAACTTGTATAATGCATATGAGTATAACAAGGAGTGTCTTTTATTTCTATGAATGAATCGGTCGGTCGGGCGGTAATGTCTATAGAAAGGGGTGTTTATGTATGTATGTTTTACTGCATATATGCACTCATAGATATACATACATATAAATCATATAATAAGCTTTTATGCTGTTAAAAAAATGTTTGTTTGCTTGTTTGTATTTTAAGAGTAGAAGGACATGTGACACACACATATATGGGTAAATATGTAAGTATGTATGAAATGTTTACATATTAGTTTTATGCTTAAAAAAAGAGGCCGGTCCATAGAGATATAATTTGCATTGCCGTTGCATTGTATTTTTTGTTATTAAACAAGCAACCAACAACAAATAAAAGCAAGGACATTCACATAAACATAATTTTGGTTTTAGAATTGGTCATTTCACTTATGTATGCATGTATGAGTGTGGAAGTGAAAAATCCGTTATTTCCTCATACTCTCTTGCATTAGCTGCAGTTATTTTTTACATTGAAATTTGAACATGAAATAAAATATTCAACAAGCTTTAACTGAATTTGACTGCAGGCTAGAAGGACTTAATTTCAAGGATTATGAAATAAATTAAACAGCTAAATTAAAGTAAAAAAAAGGAGTGTAAAGATATTATGTTTGATATATTATGCTAACGCTTTGTATTTTACTAACAATGTGTAATAAAATACCAAATTTGTTGATATTTTTTCTTTTTTTGGTTTTCTTAAAACTTAAACAAAAGCCAAAAATTTAAGTGAATTTTAAGATTGTGTATTTAGGTTTTGAGGAGTATTTAAGTTTTTAAGTGCTTAAAACGAAATTTTTTATATACATATGTATCTAGATACTTCATTTAAAACAACTGTGTTAATTTTATCATGGAAAGATACTTTTGGTTTTTCTTTCGAAAAAGAATTCATTGTTACAAAACTTAAATGAGTAAGTGTATGTAATTATTTTGGCATTGTTTAAATTTTAACTACAAAAGGATTTTTTTTACAAAATTTTTGTAGGAAATTTTTAAAAAAATATCTGTTATTAGTAACTAACAAAACCAGATTTTTAATTTATTTAAGAAGAAGTACTTTCTTTGGTACTTTTTAATTTAAGTACAAAATTTGCTATAAATTCTCATTAAATAGTTTAGAAACCTAAATCTAAAATTTAGTATTTAATTTCAATTAAACGACAAAATCAGTTGTTTAAGCAAATTTTTGGATAGAGGATGTATTGTCGAGTTTAAGTATTAATTTCGCACAGCCAAAGGTCCCCGAAATAGGACACCTCGACTATGTTCAATTTCTCATTTATTACGGATTATATGCTTGACGTCAACACCTGCCATGACGGGCTTATTTCGCGGTGGTACTTTTCACAGGGTTAGCTGTTAGACTACTCACCATAGCCACTTTGTGCCTTGCATGGAACATGCAGGTGTCAATTTTTCGCACTTGGTTTTACAGGTCCATGTACATTCTACAAGCACTTTGCTCAAGTACTCGAGCCATCTAATCTTTGACTATTGTGTCCCTTTGCGTAACTTCCGAAATGCAATAGCATCACTTCCGTATTGGCCTCTGTTGATTTCCTTACCATTTATATACAATATGTCTATTTTGTCTATTCCACAAGGGAAATAAATTAGAAATTTTTTTTGTTTAATTGAATGAATCAAGAATTTAATTGACTTCATGAACAACAATTTCAACTATTGGTTTGATCAGAAATATCATAAACATGTTAAAATTAATGAAATTTTTAATTAAACCAATTAAACAGCTTAATTGACATTTGACTCAAAATATAATTAAATAGATGATTGAATTAAGTAAAATGTTAATTGAATTACTTCAATAAGAAGACCTAGTGTTCTTCTTATTGAAGTAATTCAATTAACAGCGAAAGTCTTAAAAGGAACACTAGCTGTAAAGTGGCAGTGTGTGTTATGGCAATTAAACCAATAGTTTGAAATTATATATTCAAACGGTTTTATATCAAAGTGTCAGATTAAAGACTTACATTGACTTTTTATACCAAAACTTATTAATTTTTATTAAATTTTTTCATAAAAAATACATATAGTATGTATATTTCCATAAACCAAAAAATGCAATATGTCATGTCGTCTTCATGAGTCTGTCAGTAGGACTTTGGCTTAAATCTCTACATAAGTGATGAAATTGTTTTGGTATTAGTTGCACATAAGAATTTATGATGCACTTGAAACTACATGTGTAAGAGTAAATATTAAAAGGATGTTAGAGAAGAAAAAACTACATATAAATAATATTCATAGTGTCCTCATTTTCTTCATTTTTATTGGTGATATTTGTTGAGGTTGTTGGAGGATTGTGATGATTATGATTTATAATCATGATGATGATATATATACATACATATTTGTGGTATTGGTATAGTCGATTTTCAAGTGTTGTTTTTATTGTAAGCATTATGACTACATCAACAACAACATCACCATCATCGTCATCATCATCTGAATCAACAACTACAACACGACAACATCAGCAACATTTTAGCCTTAAGCTTTACGTAATGCCTCAGGTATGAATGTCATTTTTATTTTGGTGAATACATTATTACTTTTTCACCTGTTGTACAGCTTCAATGGGATTCCAATGTGAAAAACGCAATAAAAAAGTATGTATAGTTGGAAGAACATAAACTGAAGCATTTCATCGAAGCCATCAATACTGACAAGTCTAAGTGTGACACACACACACACATACACTCACCAACTCATACATACATTTAATTTGAAATACACAGACATTTATAAGTATGCGTTTATTGAAATATTATGCCAAACATGCCAAAACTCAACTGAACGTGTGAATGTGTTAATATTGCATTTGTATGTATGATATAGAGGCGTGAGTGTTTCTATAGCTGGAAGCATTAAAGTTTTACAAGTTTTTTCCATGCGTTTGCATGAAGAATTTATATTGACAATATTATCAGCATTTGTCGTATCGTCCCCTAAACTACAAACAGTCATAACAGGCCTTGTAGTATTTTGATTTCAAAAGAACAAGAGAAAACTTATTGAAAATTATGATATGTAGTTGTGCTTATTTGTCAAAAAGGTTAACTTCTCTTTTTGCTATACTCAGATTTAAAAGTTTTCAACGTCTTATAGAATATATATTTAAAGAAGTTATATATTTCTCTTATTTTTTCAAATTTATTGAAATTTTATTAGTTAACACCTTTTACAAAACTTACCTGGCATGGTGCCTGAAATAGATACGCATCACCGAATGCAGTACTCAAGCAAAATATATAATCACGTTTGGGATGCTCCGGTATTGGCTGCATGATGGCACCATCAACGATAATTAAATGTTTTGGTGCCGCCTCCACACTGCGACCCTCACGCGAATCGCATGGATAAAAGAGCAGTGTAGTACCCTTCAAACACACCCAATAACCCTTCCAGCCCCGCTTACGGGCCAATTCGATTTGATGTTTTTTGCGTAAAAGCCATTTTTTCACCGACAGGAAACTGCAAAGATTAATAAGGAATTTTTTATATATTTTTTTGTGAATTTAAATGTGAATTTTTTCGTCGTTATTTTTTTTTTACAGAAATTTTATTTATCTGATTAAAAAAATGCATGTGTAATGGTATTTACAATTTTTAACGTTAATAACCAGCGGCTATGGGGATAAACAATTAGTAGAAAAACAAACTATTTTGTTGCAATGATGATCACAAGTTGTTGTTATTTCTTAACATGAAATGGGATTCTAGAGTAAATTCAAATTTTAAATGAAATTTCGGGCTTCTAATGAAATTTCGAAAAATTTTAGAGCAATTTTAAGTTTATGGTGAATTTCTTTTTAAAGTTTCGAATTCCTAGAGATATTTTGAAATTTTAGTGAAATTTGGAATAATAACAAAATTTCTAATTTCTACAGAATTCTCGAAATTGTGTTCGAATTTTTAGTGAAATTTCAAATATCTAGTGAAATTTCGAATTCTTAGATAAAATTCTATTTCGTAGAGATTTTAAATTCCTAGTGAATTTTTAAATTTGTAATGAAGTTTTCGTAAAATTTTAAATCTCTAAGAAGTTTCGAATTTCTGGCAAAATTTCGAATTTCTGCCAAAATTTTGAGCTTCTAACAAAATTTTCAATTCCAATCAGATTTTCGAATTTCTTTTGAATTTTCAGATTTCTAGTGAAATTTCGAATGAAAGTTCGAATTTCTAATGAAATTTCGAATTTATAATTAAATTTCATAATCCTAGTTGGATTTCAAATTCCTAGTTAATATTTAAATTTCTAGTAGTGAAATTTTTAATAATGAATATTTAGTGAATTCGAACTCCTAGAAAAATTTTGAATTCCAAATCAAATTTCGAATATTGAGTAAAATTTTTCAAATTTCTCGTCATTTCGAATTTCTACTGAAATTTGGAATTTTTGAATTTCTAACAGAATTTATAGTGAAATTTCGAATTTTGAATTTCTAATGACATTTCGAATCTCTAAAAAAATTTCAAATTTTTAGTTAATTTTCAAATTCCAATATAATTTCGAATTTCCAAATTCCATAAAATTTTCGTTTCGTTTTTTAAGTGAAATTTCGAATTATTAGTGACATTTCGAATATAAGATAAATTTTGGAAATTTTAGTAAAATATGAAATTTTTAGTAAAATTTTAAATTTCTAGTGAATTTCAAAATTTTTAGTGAACTTTAGAAATTTTAAAGAAATTATGAAATTTTCGTGAAAATCTATAAAAAAATATATATTTTCGAAAATTTTAGTAAAATTTTATATTTCTAGTTAAATTTAAATATTTAGTAAAATTTAAAATTTCTAGTGAATTTCAAAATTTTTAGTGAAATTTTGAATTTTTAAAGAAGTTATGAAATTTTCGTGAAATTCTATAAAGAAAAATTATATTTTTTAGTGAAATTTCGTGTTTTAAGTGAAATTTTGAATTTCTAGTGAAGTTTTGAATTTTTGAGTGAAATTTTGAATTTGTGATAAATTTTCGAAACTGTTTTCTCGAATTTCGAATTTCTAGTAAATATGAAATTTTTAGTGAAATTTAAAATTTCTAGTGAATTTAAAAATTTTTGGTGAAATTCTATATAAAAATTAAATTTTAAAGTGAAATTTCGAATTTCTAGTGAAATTACGAATTTGTGATAAAATTTCGAAACTTTAAGAAAAATTTCATATTTTTAGTGAAATATAAAATTTTTAGTGAAATTTAAAATTTCTAGTGAATTTCAAAATTTTTAGTTAAATTTCGGAATTTTAAATAAGTTATAAAAATTCTATAAAATAATTAGATTTTTAAGTGAAATTTCGAATGAAGTTTCGAAATTTTAATGAATTTTCGTAACTTTTAGTCAAATTTCGAATTTCTAGTGAAATATAAAATTTTAGTGAAATTTAAAATTTAAAGTGAATATCAAAATTTTTAGTGAAATTATGAAATTTTCATGAAAATCTGTACAAAATACAAAATACGAATTTTGAATTATTATTTTTTAAATACTTCTGATGGATCCGATCCTCTGAGTATTCAATTTTTCTGAATGCAAAATATTTTGAAACGATTTCACCGATTTGCAGTTTTTTAATAGGCGTGGAAGTATTTTAAAATATTTTGTTAAAACGTTGTTGGTCTTTCAATGGCTTTAGAAATCCTTATTTTGGACCATAAATAAACACAAGTAGGAACACTCTTATAAAAAATCCATTAAAAATTTGTCCATTCAGTGAAAGAATTATATTTGTGCAGTAACAAATTGGCTGAGATTTTCCAATTTGTTTTTGTTTTCTCTCTCTCTCTCTCTCTCTCTACTATTTTACAATAGCTGCAAGGGTATAAGTAAAACATATAAAATTTCCTGTTAGCTTTAATTCCTGCATTCAAACATTCCCTTACACAACTACATACACATACATATTTGCATGACTTTTTTACTTAACTTTTTGTCTACTTTTTTCTACTCTTTTGTTTATGGTAAAACTTTTTTTGGGATTTTTTTAAAAGTTTTTTTCGAAGATTTTTTTTTCAAGTGTTGACATTTATAATACATACCCAGCTTTACGTACAGCTCCAGTGCAATTGAATGATGAGGCAGCTGTACCAGTTGCTTTTGCTTTATATGGTGACGCCATGACACTTTCGCCATCATCTTCATCCGATACGGCTGTAGTTAAGCTCATGCGGTCATCGTCGGAAATCTAAACAAATTAAACAAGAAAAACACACAGAAAAGAAAAAACAAGAAAAGTTTTTAGTAAAAATATAAATAGGAAAATAAAAATGAATAAATAAAGAAATCATTATCATTAGTCAATGTCTTTTTATGCATTACAATGCATTAAGTTTATATACTTTTTGCAAATGTAAATTGTGTTGAGTTTTTTTTTGTTGTTAAGATGAAGAGACAGGCAGTTAGTGATTCAGTTGTCTGGCTAGTTGCAAGGAAGAAAAAACAGGCATCCAGCCAGTCATTTAAACAAGGAATCAAGAAAATAAATGGCCACAGTCTTGTGTTGTAATAAAATCAACACATTCTCTGATTTCTTTGGTTTTATTGTTTCTGGTGCCGCTGCTGTTGTTTCTTCTGTTGGTGTTTAGTTTTTCATTGTTTTATTTTTTTGTAATTTTTTCCCATTTTCCTTTTTTTATTTGTATGACTTTTTTAGGGGGGTCTGTTTGAAGTTTCAGCTTACCAAAAAAAAAAAAAGGAACTGTAGACCGACTGAACGACCGACAGAGTTCAACATAATCTCATTATAAACATGATGAAACACTCGGTATACGAGTGTGTTGCAAACAAATAAGAAACAGGAAAATATGTATAAAGTATTGCTACGATAATGCCGTTGTTCCAAAAAGGCTGTCCCAAACTGCTGAGTTTAGGGTTAGTCCTGCAATTGGTTATGTAAATATATAATTGTGATAGAAAGAAGTCAAATAATACTTTACAGAGTCTTAGACCATTTGGCCAACTATGATACCCTTAAAATACTTCCCCTCTGATTTAGATGGTCTTTTTATACCTTTGGTCCCAGAAAGCACCATCCGCTTCCACTTCCTTGAGACAGTCCAAATCATGAAAGCAACTTACAGCAAGATATCTCAGTCTGCGCTTTTGTATAATGGCTCTTAAGTTGACTAAAGAGTGAGCGCTACAAGCGATGCGAAGCTTTGCTCTACAAACTTTTGCTTGTGTTTTCTCGCATCAAGCTTCGCTTTCACTCTGACATGACACATAGGAAAATACGAGGAAATTTTTGTAGCGCAAAGCTTCACCCACTCTATAGTCAACTCTAGACTTTTAGGTCATTTGGTTCATATTATTCCTCTCTAATTTGGATTCCCTTTTGATACCTTTGGTCCCAGAGAGCATCATCCCCTACTTCCAATACATTTTGGTAGATTTGTTAGTGATATATCCTTGAGGATGTCTCAATCTGTGCTTTTAAAGCGCGACGCAGTCACATATCGATTCTCTTCCTCCTTGTCGAAACAACTTTAGATATAAATGTTACTTGGGTTGCCTATATGATCTGCAATGCGTCCAATCATACAGAGCTTTTCTATCAAGAGCCAAGGGAGTCAAGGTACTTTTCCGTGAATGGCAGTGATCATAGTGGAACTATTTAAATCCTTTTGCGAAACACTTTCGTGCAAGGTCGATCTGATTTCCCCGAATGCTTAAGTGTCCTTTTAACCAAATCAAGAATACTTTTCAAGCATACGAGAGTCTTGAGAGATACAAGATGTTAATAGTCGAGGTTTCGAGATTTTGTTATCGAATGTTTCTCACACTTTTACTTTTAGCTGGTTTTCTAAAGTAAAAACCAAATGGATTATAGTCGTCACTACTCTCTCGATTACCTAGGAATAGAAAAGTAACTATTGGCGCCCCGTTAAATTACTTTGGGGAACTCAACTGATGATTAGCATCAAGGCATTAAAGTGACAACTGCTGGGACATTCTGTATATTTTGGTATAAGTGTATGCCAGAGTAACAGGCTCTTCTACTAGTTCCAGTACCCTTTAGTTAGGTTTACTTTATAGTTTAGTTGCATTCGCTTGCGTGATTTAGTGTTAGTACTATTCCCGTTATGTATGTGTATTTATGTATTTCTGTAATTTGTATTTTATGCAATATATACTATTATTATACATACAAATTTCAACTCAATACACACACACACACATACAAATATGCATATTGCTAAGGTACTTACGATGGCCACACACCCACTGGTACATTTTTTAAGTATATAAAAAGCATTTTCATGTTCGACCCCATAACAGCAGTTGAGTAGAGAGTAATGAGCGGTGTATGGCTACTCATTTCAACTACCACTACTACTTGACTCTACTCTTTTTTACTTCCCTGCACTTCTGAAGGTAGTCCCCAAGAAGTTCTAGTACTGATTTAGTCCAAAAAGGAAATCAATTGGACAATTGATTTCCTTTTGGACTAAATCAGTACTAGAACTTCTTGGGGACTACCTTCAGAAGTGCAGGGAAGTAAAAAAGAGTAGAGTAGAGTCAGTAGTGGTAGTTGAAATGAGTAGCCATACACCGCTCATTACTCTCTACTCAACTGCTGTTATGGGGTCGAACATGAAAATGCTTTTTATTACTTAAAAAATGTACCAGTGGGTGTGTGGCCATCGTAAGTACCTTAGCAATATGCATATTTGTATGTGTGTGGGTGTATTGAGTTGAAATTTGTATGTATAATAATAGTATATATTGCATAAAATACAAATTACAGAAATACATAAATACACATACATAACGGGAATAGTACTAACACTAAATCACGCAAGCGAATGCAACTAAACTATAAAGTAAACCTAACTAAAGGGTACTGGAACTAGTAGAAGAGCCTGTTACTCTGGCATACACTTATACCAAAATATACAGAATGTCCCAGCAGTTGTCACTTTAATGCCTTGATGCTAATCATCAGTTGAGTTCCCCAAAGTAATTTAACGGGGCGCCAATAGTTACTTTCTATTCCTAGGTAATCGAGAGAGTAGTGACGACTATAATCCATTTGGTTTTTACTTTAGAAAACCAGCTAAAAGTAAAAGTGTGAGAAACATTCGATAACAAAATCTCGAAACCTCGACTATTAACATCTTGTATCTCTCAAGACTCTCGTATGCTTGAAAAGTATTCTTGATTTGGTTAAAAGGACACTTAAGCATTCGGGGAAATCAGATCGACCTTGCAC